CCCCAAAACCCCAAAACCCCAAAACCCCAATTTTAGCTGAGTGTAGATTTAGTAAAAAGTAATAATTACTCCAATGGGAGCATCCTCATTCCTCTATTCTGGACCTTAGCTCCAGTCTTAGCCTTACCAGAGCGATTAGATTTCTTCTGTCTGACCTCCTTAGGCCAGTATTTCTCGAGAGAGTCGAAGAACTGTGTCCAGAATGTGAAGAATCTGCTGGAATTTTCCATCTTTTCATCATCTTTCTTGATACCATAGTATTCTCCAAGTTTTTTCCATTTTTCCTCTCAAACGTCGAATCTACTCTTCATTTCCTCAAGTTTGTCACTATAGCTGAATAATTTCTTTTTAACATGTTTTTCATAAGCCTCAGCTGCAGAATCATCCTTAGAGTTGATTATTATTTCAAGAGTGTTCTTGGCCAAGTTGTTTTGGCCCATGAAACCAACAAATAAATCAGATATCTCCTTCAAGTCGTTGTTTTTAGAGTCATAGAGCCCTCTCAAGGTTTTCTTAAATCCTCTGTATTCACTGTTCATTGCATTAAGCTTGGCTGCAACATATTCCATCGCTGATTTGTTGTTAACATCTTTGATACTGTTTACCTTAACAATTCCTTCAATAGCAAAGCCATCAGCTTGTCCTTTTGTCTTATTACCTCCGTTCAGGATGTTCCCAAGAGTCAAGATCGTGGCTAAAGCATCTTTTAAGAGTTTACTTTCCTCTAGTTCCTTTAAAGCAGATTCTAATTTAGTCAGAGGTTCCAGGAAGAATTCTTCTTGCTCTCCATATTCTAAGCAGAAGCGAATAACTTCACATTTTTGCCTAATGTTTTTGATGTGGTGCAGATTTATCACGTAATCTTCAGCGAAATCCCATGTTTCTCCAGGATTTGCTGCATATTCTTCAAGGAGACTATGAATATCTGATTCTTCAGGCCAAGCTCTGAGCAAACCATTGACAGAATTGCCTTGAAGTTTGCTCGTAAAGTTGTCATCTATGTTGGTCAGCATCTCAGCCATGACAGTTGGCTTGGGCAACCTCTTCATGACAATGCACATAATCTGAGAAACTTCTGCATCAAAGAACTGCTTCTTAGTTTTAACTATAAGTTGAGTATCTAACAATACCTTTCTTTTTCTTGGTTTCCTCTGTTGCAAGTTTGACTTTTCTTTTATCTTCGAATAGGTCTTCGACTTCTTGCTGGTTCAGTTCGATTTCTTTGATATCGTCCCAAATGATGTGTACTCTTCCTTTCTTATCTTTGGGCTCATGCAAAAGTCTTCTCCATTGATATGGCTTCACCTTCTTGGATAGCTTGATTGCAGGCTTGGTTGGTTTTGGCTTCAATGATCTTCCGAATGCAGGTCTTCCCTATTAAATAAGGTTAATCATATTCGCAATCAAAATACTTACAGGCATACCTCCAGGTAAAGGAGGAGCTGCACCCAATCCAGGTGGTGGCGGTGGAGCACCCATTCCAGGAGGTGGAGGTGCACCTGCCCCTGGAGGTGGGGGAGGACCTCCCATCCCTGGCGGAGGAGGTGGACCACCCATTCCTGGAGGAGGAGGTGGACCACCCATTCCTGGAGGAGGAGGTGGACCACCCATTCCTGGAGGAGGAGGAGGTCCACTTGATCCGGGAGGTGGTGGAGGTCCACTTGCACCTGGAGGAGGAGGAGGACCAGATGGTGCAGGAGGTCCTCCCATTCCTGGGGGTGGAGGAGGCCCGCCCATTCCAGGAGGAGCTGGGGGGCTAGTAGAACCAGGAGGTGGAGGAGGAGCACCCATACCAGGAGGTGGTGGTGGCCCAGTATTTGGTGGAGCAGGAGGAGCACTTGTACCAGGCGGTGGTGGCGGGCCTGGTGGAGCGGGAGGCCCACTTGGAGGAGCTGGCGATACCGTAGTACCTGGTGGTGCAGGTGGTCCAGGCGGTGCTGGTGGTCCAGGAGGTGCAGTTGGTTTTGCTATCGGAGGTGCAGGTAGTCCTGGTGGAGCTGGAGGTCCACTAGGAGGAGCTGGTGGTGCTGTCATACCTGGAGGAGCTGGAGGTCTTGTCGTAGTTGGTGGAGCTGGTGGCCCACTCATACCAGGCGGAGCAGGAGGTCCAGGAGGAGCTGGTGGACCTGCTGAATTTGGAGGGGCTGGAGGACCTGTCGATGTGGAAGGAGTCTGAGGTGGGCCTGGTGGTGCTGGAGGGCCTGGTGGAGCAGGAGGGCCAGATGGTGTATTCGTTGATGGAGGAGCAGGTGGTCCTGGTGGTGTTGGAGGGCCTGGTGGTGCTGGAGGCCCTGGAGGAGTTGTTTTAGCTGCAGCAGGCGGAGCAGGTGGTCCACCTACAGAAGCTGGAGGCGCTGGAGGTCCTGTATGTGGAGCTGGAGGTGTTGTAGTTGGAGGAGCAGGCGGACCTGGTGGTGCAGGAGGGCCTGTAGGAGCAGGAGCCACCTCTGTCTTGATTTCTTCCCTTTTTGGTTCTTCCCTTTTTGGTTCTTCCCCTTTAGGTTCTTCCACTTTAGGTTCTTCCACTTTAGGTTCTTCCTTTTTAGGTTCCTCCTTTTTAGGTTCTTCCTTTTTAGGTTCTTCCTCTTTAAGTTCGTCTTTCGATCCTTCAGTTTTTATTATTTTATCATCTTTATCCTCCATTTTAGCAGTCACATCAGTAAATTCTGAGTCTATTTTAGACTCATTATCTTCTGAAGGATGATCAGCCTATAAAAATAAGCCAAATTTATACTTTTTGTGACTTATTTCTCCCATTTATATTAGGTGACATTTCAGCTTCTATAAAATTATTCGCCATGCTTCATCTTAAGACCTACTATTCTTTTCATGGAAGCTGATAATGGCTTGATAATTGGTTCTTTCTTCATGCATTTCATTGGTAAGTCTGTCAACTTTGATTTCCAGTTTCTAGAATAATTAACCCTGGAGTATGTACCTTCTTCTCATCTAATGCATCTTTGAGATCAGCCCTGACTTTTGTCAGTGTGATTCTGTTCTCCTCTCCTGATCTTCTACTTTCTTGCTTTAGTTTCTGATTGATTTGCCTCAATTCATCCATATCCTTGCTATAATCATTGATCTGTTCTTGGAATTCTCTGCATTGATCCTCAAGTTGCTTCTTCTCTGCATTGAGCTTATCGATAAATTCCTTGTTCTCCTGGATGGCTTCTCTCAGGTCTAACTAATTAGCCAGGAACTGTAGGGAGACTTACCAACAATATTTCGCTTTAAATATGGCATCTTCATCAAATCCTCTTTCTTGTAATTCCCTGTATGAGCAAACGGATTGAATAAGGTAGGTTTCTCCATTGACATCTTTGCCAGAGCAAAGAATTTCTGGTAGTCTTTCTTCATAATTGAGTAGTAGTTTTGTTGCTCCTGAAGACCAGCAAGCCTCTTTTCATAAGCTCCACAGTGTTTTTCCAACTCAGAGATTCTGTTCCTGTGAATCTCTAGCTCATACATAGATGATTTGATGATCACATTATTGTTTTGTTGGAATTGCATCAGAACTCTTCTTAGCTTTTTATTCTTTGTTTTTGAGATTTTCTGACATTCTTCGAAGACTCCAAGATTTTCAAGTCTGGACTGAAACTTACAGCAATCTTCCTCTTTGGGACATTTATAAATCATCCAATTGAAGAAATGTATAACTCTCTCCTTGAGTTCCTCATCTTTGGATTGGAGAGCATCGATTAAAGGAGAGTAAGGAGATCTTTCATTTTTAAATCCATGAGTTAAGGCAGCCTTGTTGATCATTGTGAATGTTCCTTTCACTGTTCTTAATAAGGAACAGAGAATTCCTATAGTACTCTTTTTGACTATAACATCATCTTTATCTAGCAAGCCATAGAGGTTTGAGATATTTTCTGGCCTCTTCCTAATGAACTCAACTCCATTAAGATATTCTGTAGTAAGAAAGAATGTCTTAAGACAGTATCCTAGCAGTGCTCCATCGAGGAGGGAAGCAAGGGACATAAGTTGCTCAATACCTCCAAGAGCGATGAATTCTTCAATGTAGACATCATTCTTTTGCTCAAAGTTTTTGGTAATCTCTTGGAGGAACTTCTTTGATTCTATCGAGACTTCCTTCTTGCTTCCCATTAAGTCCTTTAGCTTCGTGATATGAGAACTTTGCAAAAGTTCTTGTGTGATATCCTCAATTCTTAGAACAATGTCTTTCATCTCGTCAGTGACATGGAAAAGAGTGGCTTCTTGCATCATTAGAAGAGTAGTAGGCTCGTTATGGATTAATCGATTGTTCCTCATCTTGAGAAGGTAGCAGATATGTTCAGATTCTTCTATCTCAAATGCTTTACACGATTCAGAGATGACATCCTCTATAGTAGGGATGATTTCATCTTGCAATTTCACAACCTTTGGCTTCAGCTGCAGCTCATCTATCTTGTCAGGGTTGTAATAAATATTAAGTTGCTTAGGAATTTCCATTTCTCAAGGGGTTTATGTATCCTAAAATTATATTTAAGTTATGAAAATAATCACTTAAAAGGGGTTTTGGGGTTTTGGGGTTTTGGGGTTTTGGGG